TTATTGTTTGTATTTATTCGCTATTATTACCCTTTTAAGGTAAAATATTGCTTGCAGTGCAAATAAATTCAGTCGTATAGTCGGTAAAACGGTATACAGGTATATTAAAATATAATTTACTAAGAAAATAGTAATAAAATAAGGCTAGAAAATTCTTAGCATTAAGTTTTACTAAAAAATATTAATATTTTTATTATCTTGGAAAATTTAAAATCACAAATCACATGGACCAATATGACAATAGTAAATAATATTCTATAAAAAAGAATGGCCTATACGAGTATCTTTTCTTGTATCAACCCAAATTGAGTATGTAATATGAGTTTTTAAAAATTAATTACAAAATCAAACAACTTAAAGCAAATTTAAGTTGGTAGTAAAATTCAATAAGACCTACGTATTTTAGAAAACTGCAGGAAATCATATCTGTTTAATTCTATTACATGTTCACTCAATTTAAAATAAGGTGAGCCCAAATCAATTATATTTAAAGCATATAATAGGCATCAAAATAATCATATTGAAAGTTGAGTAGGTTGAAGAAAGTAATCAAAAATATATAGGTACTCAAAATTTAATGCGATCAAAAAGTTATTAAAAAAGCATATTTTAAAATTTATGTCTTAATTTCTTTCGTAACTGGAAGAAAGTTGACTTTAAACAAGATTCAATTTTTACAAAGAATTATTTAATATTTTTATGATGAAAATTAAGATGGTAAGATTAATTATTTTATGAAGTATTTATTTACTTAAGTGAGTATAAAACTTAAGAGACTATTCATAAAATTAAAAACAAACTATATACTATTAACTATAATAAAACAAGTAAAAACGTTTCAGTCGGTATGAACCGATTGAATTATACCCTGCACCTTTCATTGTTGTATAGCAATTACTCAAACCTGTGAAACCATTCTATAGAAACTTCACGGATATGTCTGATCTATAACTGAACACACAACTACCAAGTTTCGTGAATCTGACTTTATTATTTTTCCAAATATTTAAAATTAGCTTTTGGAGTTGTATGGCAGGTACCCGAACCTGCCAAGCAATTCCACTAAAACTTCGCTAATATATCTGATCTATAATTGGACACACAACTGCCAAGTTTCATGAATCTAACTTTATTACTTTTCCAAATATTTAAAATAAGCTTTTGGACTTGTATGGGAGCCACTCGAACCTGTCAAGCAATTCCACCAAAACTTCAGAAATATCTTTGACCTATAATTGGACACACAACTGCTAAGTTTCATGAATCTGTCTTTATTACTTTTCCAAATATTTAAAATAAGCTTTTGGACTTGTATGGGAGCCACTCGAACCTGTCAAGCAATTCCACCAAAACTGCAGAAATATTTTTGACCTATAATTGGACACACAACTGCCAAGTTTCATTAATCTGACTTTATTATTTTGCCGAATATTTAAAATAAGCTTTTGGATTTGTATGGGAGCCACTCGAACCTGTCATGCAATTCCACCAAAACTTCAGAAATATTTTTGACCTATAATTGGACACACAACTGCCAAGTTTCATGAATCTGTCTTTATTACTTTTCCAAATATTTAAAATAAGCTTTTGGACTTGTATGGGAGCCACTCGAACCTGTCAAGCAATTCCACCAAAACTTCAGAAATATCTTTGACCTATAATTGGACACACAACTGCCAAGTTTCATTAATCTGACTTTATTATTTTGCCGAATATTTAAAATTAGTTTCTGGAGTTGTATGGCAGGTACCCGAACCTGTCAAGCAATTCCATCAAAACTTCAGAAATATATTTGACCTATAATTGGACACACGACTGCCAAGTTTCATGAATCTGACTTTATTATTTTGCCGAATATAAAAAATTTGCTTTTGGAGTTGTATGGCAGCCACCCTAACCGGTGCAGCTATCTCATTAAAATTTTTAGAGCATATGTAGAATATAATTGGACACATGTATACAAAATTTTATATTTGTACCTTTATTAGTTTTTGAAATAATTAAAATAAACTCTTTGAGTTGTATGGCAGCTACCCGAACCCGTTGTCCGAATTGGTCCAATAACAATAGGGTTCGTCCTTGGCACAAAAGAAGCAACTTGTGAAAGTTTGGTGTCGATTGCATTGTTCGTTTTTGAGTTATCGTGCGATCGGACGGACGGACGGACGGACGGACGGACGGACGGACATGTCTAAATCAACGCAGAATTTTACGCTGAGCAAGAATATATATATATGTCCATACCCCAGATGTCTCCTTCAAGTAGTTACAAACTCCATACCAAAGTTAATATACCCTTCACGAAGTGCAGGGTATAAAAAATGTAATTTTGTCGTCTTTACTAAATGAAAATCCTTATCAGAACCAGTTTCGGGATTTGCAGGACCAATTGCGAAAAAGCCTCGAAACAAATCATGTCCATATCATCCAGATCTTCATTTGAATCATTTTTTGGTTCATTAAAAAATTATGTATATGTATACTAGCAATGTATATTGCACTGAGTTTGTCAAAACGAAACAATTTTAAAAATTCTATTTCAATAATACAGAAAAAAAAGAGGGGAGGGGGACTGAGCGTTAAAAACACGTCTTGTACTTTTTGTCAATGTAATTGTAGAGTAACGAAAATTTGGTGGAAATACATACTTAGATATTTTAAAATATTTTAATGAAATGCAAGAATTTGGTATTTATATTTCCTAAAAATACACGAAGTCATCTACTGGAATAAACTTACCACACTACCCCTATGAGAGTCTTGGCTATTCTTTGCTATAACCTATACGTTTCGAATGTCATATGATCTTAAATAAAATGTAAACGATTTTAATCGAAAAAATCTACTGTTACCATCGATTTTGAGTTCTAAAAAGTACCTACCGAAAAAACTTATTGAGTAGTATATAATTGCTTAAGAGCACCATTGATTAAATCATTGTAAATACGGCGTTATATAAACTTATAACGCACATGTGTTAAAATTGCATAACTTTATCCTCAAATTTCATCATTTTATTTATTTATTTATTTACTTTTTTATACAAATTTAGTTATTTTTCAAAGAAATACTCAGAAATTTACAATATAAATCTTGAATATTTTCTGTATATTTACTGCATTTGTTCATACATACATCTTAATATAAAAAGATTTGCCGGCATTTTTCTCCATGCCCCTAAGGGTTTGTTTCAAATTCATTTCCAAAGTTTGCTTGTTTTTTTTTTTAAGTTAAAAATTTAAAAATCTAATTTTAACACAAATATTAAAAATTTTTTTAGCAATTTTCTTTTTTCAAACTTTGTTTTCTTTTTTACGTAAATTTAAATTCAATTAAAATCGCATGCGACAAATCTTTCCAACTAATTCAACGAGCGTTTACTTTTTAACTAAAGTTATAAACGAATAATCAAAACAAAACATAAACAACTTTTCTGCGCGAGGTCTGCAGAAAAAAAACATAAAATCTACTACAAACAACTTGTAAACTACAACGCTGCAAATGAAGGTGAAGCAATCGCCGTTAGTATAATGCAGTGAAAACAAAGCAAAGTTAACATTCAAAACGAATGTGCAGTACACATGAAGCTTCTACGTATATCTAAATCAGAGTTTAAATTGCATTTATGCGAATATGTTTCGTAAATAAAATTTTGAAATTCCGAGATTTTAAATACATATAACAAAGAATATTGAAATTTAAATATGAGAATAAATAATAGAAGTGAATTATTCAATTAAGATGAATAACGTGGATGATTTTCTGTATTTAGCTATAGAGGGTGAGATATAAAGAACATACTATTATAAACTTAAGGTATTTATCTCAAATTCTGTTTCCCCAAATTCAAAAATAATTTTTATATTTTTTTGCTGAAACGTATAATATGGACGATATTCGTTATTTCTAAATGTTTTCAACATACTTTTATGACATTCCAAAGCTTCCTTTATTCTTTTAAATTTTCCCGTTTCTTCTTGTTTTTCCTATTAGATCTATCATCCATATTTTCAGGGGTATCCTTATCTTTTTAAATATCATTTAAACAATAATCAAATTCTATAATCATCACTAAGTATCATTCATATAACGCTGTTTATTTATAGCACCACCTTTAAACCACTTTGAACAAAATATTCCTTCTTTGGGAAGCTTTAAAAATTTAAGTAATTTATTTTTCTACTTTCAGAATTCTCACAGTTTTTTACTTTACAGTTTTTCATTTTTATATTATTCACGTTAATAACTTTTTGAATAAATATTTTTAACACTTAAGTAATCTTTCAAACTTAGTTTATAATTGTTTTAAATAAAAATTTTACTTAATTTTCACTTTTCGTTTTTTATCTTAGCAAGTTTACCAAACAAATGAATTCAAACGTGTCCTATGACATCACTCCATAAAGTTGTCAATTTGACAACTCATTTTGTACATTTCCTCATGGTTCAAAATTTTGAATTCAAATATTCTTACCTTGCTTCTTTATGTATTTTCGTATAGAGAACCCTGAAAAAAAAATAACATCATGTTCTGATTATCAACATAATAATATTGTATTTTACTTTTTTTTTTGTTTTCCTTCAATTGTGTATTAGCCGGTGTCGCTTTGCAGCAATGTAGTTAAAACACTGTATTGTATTTTTCATTTTGTTTGCATTTGTTTTTTTGGTTTTCTGCGCGCAATATTTCCTTTTGCTTCAGTGCTTCAGTTGAAAAGTAGACGCTCGCCGAATTAGTTGATGTTGAAGTTATTTGTCGCATGTGATTTTTTGCTTGGTTTTTTGAAAATCGTTTGGTGATTATTTTCAAAAGATTATATAGAGAATAAAAAAACAAAATTATTTAATAAAATTAAAAATTTTTGAAATTTAAATAATTTGTGCTTTATACGAAAAATTAAAAAATTTTTTAATATTAAAAATTAAAGAAAAAAAAGAAATTTCAATGTAAAACCATAAAAGTGCATTTAAAAATTTTTTTTTAAAATAAAGCCGAACAATTTTTTTTATTGCATATACTTGTATTTGTAGGTATACTTATTATCCTGAAAATATAAAAAAAAAATAAAAAAGGAAAAAAAAATCATGTCATGAATATTTTCGGTTTTTATAAAATTTTATGAAAAATATATCTTTTAATTATCTAAAAAAAGAATAAGTTAATTTTTAGTAATAAAAACGAAAAATAATAAAAAAAAAAAAACAAAAAATAAGGATAATTGCGCAAAACACATACATACACACCGGATAGATTTAATGCGAAAAAAAAGTGTAAACGTTGAATTTTTACTGTCAATTCTAACGAAGGACTAAAATTTTATACGCTGTTTTATGTATTTTTCTTTTTTATTTTTACATTTAAAGTGGATAAAATTCGTTCGATAGGTAGGTTTCAATTATTTTTGCTTGCTTTTTATAATTTATATTTTACATTACAATTTAACGTGGTAAAGAAATAATTCTCTGCTTTTTAAAGACCTAAAATAAAAAATGTGCGGCAAAAAATAATTAAATTGAATTTAGCAAACATATCGTAGATTTTCTATAGTTTTTATTATTTTTGGTTATACATAAAAAATTATTGTATATATTTTTCATTTATAAAAAAGGATAATCAAATAGAGATCAGCAAAATGAATCACGGTTTTACTTATTTTTTTTTTTTTTTTGAATACACAAACATTATGATTGTGTACATGTGCCATTATACTATTTATACAAAAAGGATAATGTATTCATTTCAATGCGGTAGAACAGATACACAAACATATTATTTGATATTTGAATAAAAATATAATTTGATATTTTCTGATGATTCTAATAAAAATTGTGAATCTCATATTTTCCAAATTTATTTTAAATAAAGTTTTAAATATTCAAAAATTATTATTAGCAAAATTGGAAAAAATTTTTAGTCTAATTTAAAACTAGGTTGTCATATTTTATTGTTAAAATATACAAAATAATGTAGATTATTAAAATTATTTTAAATCTAAAAAAAAATTTTTTTTTTGTTTTGACGTTTACGGATGATCAAAATTCAAAGTCAATTACGGGTAAAAAGTTTACTAGATTTCTGTCCGTAAAAGTTTTAGTTTCAGACAGTTTGCAGACTAAAATCAAAATTTTGACGTTAAAGAATTTGCGGTATAATTCGGTTTTGTGGTTTTATGATGGAAAACCTAAATCAGAAGCGTAATATGAATGAATAATTGAATAACACTATGAAAAATTAGAATAAAATACGAATCACGAAATTTTAAGAATCGAAATGACGCACAATGTTGGTTTCATTTGATCATTTAATTTGCAATCAATTATTCATTTAGTTTATATTGTCACAGATTGAAAATAATTAGTGTCGAACAAAATTATTTTAAAAAAAAATTAATTGTTCAATGCGATTTCAAATATCTGTGCGAATATAGGAACATTGGGAAAAAATGGGTTAAAAAATTTTTTTTGTTTTGAAATCTTTTGTCACGATCCGGATTTGTATATAGAAACTGCAATATAAGTAACATAGTTATGAACTCAAATATTAATATTTTTGAGAAGATTAAAATTATGTGCATCATACATACATATATACAAATACATAAACGAATTAATATTGTAAAAACATATTTCATTTTCTTCTACACATTCTACCCTCCTTAAATTCTATAATATATCATTTCCATCCTTATAATATTATATTATCCTTTTTGCATATTTATGATCTATATACCTCTAAAATTTTAAATTGTAAAAAAACCTAAAATTATAATTCTTCAACTAGACTACATGAACCAGATTTCTGGTTGTATAACTAAATATGAATGCTGTGAAAAAAAACCGGTTTCAAATTCTATAAGAGTATCCGTACTGCCCTGACAAAAATTATTTTAACAAATAACTAGAATTCTTAAACTAAATAACAATTCACGTTCGTAATAATTTTAAAAATATGTTGATAAAATTAATATGAACGTGATATTACTAAGAAGAAAATTAATTTTGTTTAATTGACACATTACTTCCAAGAAAATTAAGAATATGACAAGTAGACTCCCAGCAGTCGTTTACGAACGTTTACCTTTACATTTTAAATCATCATTTAATTTAAGCAACTTTAAGACTTGCCATCTTCTAGCATTGAAAATGAATCTTTCTTTTTAAGTTTTTCAAATTAAAATTTTACTTAATAATAGTATGGCATTTTAAATTATAAAATCAGAATATTTCAATTTACCCGTTGATCAACATATTATTACATAAATTAATTAAATTATATAAAAATATTTTGAGTTTAAATTGTAATAAAAAAGGCACAATAAAATAATACAATGAATATAACAAGTAAATGATTTAATTTAATTCAACCAAAACAAAAACAATAAAATTCTAAACCTACAGTAGAGTGTTACTTGCGCAAAACTATACGTAATTTACGTACTTGCTTAATAGTGTCATATTACAAAACATGTGGCACATGTGGTTTCGATGATATCATAGCCAAAGTATTCATTTTCTTTTTTTTATTAATTTAAGTACTAAAAGTAGTACTTAGTATTGTTACTTATTATGTGCGGTTACCAATTACAATATTAAGAATATACAAAATGAATTCTTCAATTAGCAATGACATTGAATTGTTTATAAGAATATCAATTTCTTCTATATATTAATATTACAAGAAAAAGAAAAAGTAATTAATGCGGTTAAAAATTTTTAATTTAAATCTATGTAAATTTTATATTATAATTACAATGTAATATATTAATGTAATCATGGTATATAATTCTGTATAAATTATGAATTTCATTATATTAAAAATGCTTATTATATTTTTTACATAATAGTCGTATATTAGTTGTGGTTTCATGACTTTAACAATTAATTAATTATTTTATATTATTAACTAAGTATAAAACATTTTTGGCTTCATCATCATCTACTACACGTTATTCTACTTGAGCACGTGCTCGCAAATATTATAAGTCATGAAATCAGTTTTGTTTTGTTTAAAAGAAGAAAAGAAAATGCATAAATAACTAAGCATGTATGTGTGCATATATTGCTATTTTTATTAAATGAAGACCTTAGTTTTTCTCCAAGTCGTTTTAAAATTATGCAATAAAGATTAAATTTGAATTTTCTATAAGAATTTTAAAATATTTTTAACCAAATTTAACTTATATATTGGTAAACTTTCTAAATTTGCTTAAAATCTTATACTCCCTTTAATAGTATTAAAATTATATTTTAATTTACACGCATAATTTTTTAAAGTATTTTTCTACAGCCTACACATAATACGATTATACATACTTATATTTTCACAATAGATTTTATTATTAATGCACATATGGTACACTCATAGTATTTTAATTTATATTAATATAGGTACAATAGATTAGGTAAAATAAATTAAAATGCAATCGAATTTAAACACGGAATCCCTGCAGTTTTTTTACAAAAAATTATGTGGGCTTATATTTTTTAAAAATAAAATATAAAATTTGATAGTTTTTTAAATAAATTAATTAATTTGAAAATTTCTTCTTGGATTCTGTATAATTTGTGCTTATAACATTGTGCATTTGTTATGTTATTATACATAAAAATAAAGTTAGCATTTATTTAAAAAAATTTTCAATTTTTTCAAACAATTATAGTGTACATTCAAGTTGATTAAAATTATTTTCTGAACATATTAATTTATCATTTCATATTCATACATTTTAAAGCTTTTTATAATAGTGATCAATTAAAACTTTATTTATATAACAAAATCCTATAATTGACACTTAATTAAAACTTTAATGAAAATTTGAATTATCATTTTATTTAACACTGTCAATAATATTGTATATATTTCGTTAATCTCGATGTTACATACAAACATACATACATATATTATAAACTGATAATTAAAATAGATGAAACAGGGTAATGGAACTTACATTTGTAGATTTGTACAACGGGGGCAAAAGTGTACCGCGACCACTTATAAGGATCTAGTGTGCACCACAATCCGAGTGCGGGGCAAATATCCTCATTTTCCAGGCCCAGCCGACTGAAGTGTCCCCTAAGCCTGCAGTGGTCCGTCAAAATGCCGGTGAAGACTCTCACCTGGTTCTTTCCCATCCCTATAATTTTCTTAAATCGCTTTTGGTCATAATCTCCCAGGAGCTCCTTGGCTTGCCGCAGCCCCGGAAGACTTCTCCAGTGCTCCGACCGCCTTCTTTCTGATTCCTTCCTTAATATTCCCAACGAATAGTATGTGGTCCGATTCCGCAGAAGGAGTGCGGCCCAAGAAGAGTTGTGTTTGCCCGGTTGCATCTGCCCAACTCATTAAGCTTCTCAAGACAGCTCCATACTGCCGCGGAGGATACTGAAAACGAGTTCAGCGCTCCGATCGCAGCCTGACTATCCGACATAAATGGAACTTACACGGTATAAAATGAAAATATTGCAATCAGGAAGGATTTAAATCATAATGTAGTTAATTACATTTTTCATCTGAAATTAAATTTATTGAATTATTTTCTAAAATTTGCATTGAATTTTAAATTCAGATAAATTTTCAATAGAAATTTTATATTTACAAATAATATTTTTTAATTTAAATCAATAATATTTTAGTTTGAGTATGAGAATAAGTTATCTAGAAATAGAATTATAAATAATTTAATACAAAATATTAAAAAGAAGATAGTAAGAGTCTTAAAAAAAACTTTACAAAAGAGTAATAGCAAAGATCCTTTAGGATTGCGTTTGAATTCTATAGCAACTGTACAATTTACAATCTACACTAATTATGTCAAGAATTCTATAAATCTATTACAAAATCGAAAGACCTATCATAGACAGACATAAAAATTTGTCTAAGTATAAAAAATTTTTAATACATAAAGAAATAATTAAAAAAACATGATAGAAAATAGAATAAAACGTAAAGAAAAATAAATAAATAAGCAAAAAATAATCGATATTCCCTAATTCCTGTTGAAAATATTTCCATTTGTTTCCTGTTTTTCTCCTGCTGCAAAATTCTTTACAAAAATTATTATTTTCTGTTCACAACTTTTCATTTTTTATTGTTATTTTATTTCCGTTTCTCTGTTATAATAAAAAAAATACTTAACTACATTATGATTTTAACAAAAGGTAACAATTCTTCTATAAAAATATGCAAGGTAGAAAAGCGAATTGAACATGTAAAATTCTAGTGAAATGCAAAATATTATTCTCTTTCTTCAACGGTGTCCAAAAGGGAGAATGTTCTCTTGTTTTTTTGCCCTCCCCCCAGCCGGTTCTTTTAAGAATCTAAAAATTTTATTTTTAATATTACAGTTATTTTCTCCATACAAAACACATTTATGCATGAAATTCACTCT